CGGTGGAGTGCCTACGTCGCTCTCCGTTCACCACGCTTCCAATGATGAGTCGTCTTTCTTTCAGAGCTGTTGCTTATCATCACTTTGCCGTTCGATTCTCATCTCAACAATACGGTATCTGTTTATCTAGCCGTCCGATTTTCAGTGCAGGGTTTTGCCGCTCGCTCGCACAGTTGTGTTGTGGTGGGGTGGGGGGCTCGCCAGCCAGTTCCGCGATGGGGCAACAGCACAGTACACAGTTGTGGCATGGCAGTGGCGAGGCCACCAAAACGTCGTTGGCGGCATGCAGGTGCAACCACCTCGTTCCACGATCTTTCCTCACATCACCGCATGCGTGAGCCAAAAGGGTGGCTGGCGGGAAAAGATGCGGGGTGGGGGATGAGGAGGAGGCGGAAATGTACTGTTGAAGCGTGGAGAGTGGGGAGCGCGGGGAACTCTGGATGGGGAGGAGGCGGGAGAGGGGAGTGGAAGGAATGCTGCCATCACATCACCTGCTCCAGTTTTGGAAGGTCCGAGTCGACGCAGGGGACTCGGCGAAAGGCAGTGAAGATGGAAAGGAGCCGAGCCGACCAAAGCGGAACCTTTTTGGCCGCTGGGACGGAAAAACGACCCGACCCGAGCAAACAAGAACCACTCCCTCCGACCTAGTAGAAATAAGCTCGACTCATTCTTGGACACTCCACCTTCTCTTTTCCTTAGTGATCCTTGGGTCCCCTCGCCGACTTCCCGCCGTTCCCCACTTCGCCATGTTTATTTTTCCCTAGCACGAGATCTCGACTTTCGTGCGGCTGGCCCCAACTTAACGCGACTCCGAGTACGACTCCTCTACGCTATCTCGTAGTCGTCGAGGCGACTCGATTATTCAAGAGAAGCTGCTTCCGTGTCGTGCGCCCTTCCGTCGTCGCCATGACTCGCTCGCTTGCTGCGATTGCCCTCACTGCCACAGCGCTCATCGTGCTGCTCTGTACGCGCTGATCCCCCTTTCGCCCACCGACTCTCAGGAATCTGGGACTCTATGCTATTATCATAAGAAACTCACTCGAGTCGTTCTGTGCAACGCCTCTCCGTTGCTCCGCGTGACTCCGCGTGCCACTCGTACAAGCTCCCGCGTCTCTCGCGTCATCCTCACGCTTAGATTCGCCGGTTTTGCCGCATTGCTTCGCTTTCTCTCGGCTGTGAGGGCGCACGAGGCTCTCTTTCTTTCTTGGAGAGTCTCTGCCAGTCTGTTTTGACCCCCTGCCCTCCTGCTCTGCTACTCCCATGCACTGTTGCTTTGCTGCCCTCCTCCTTCTGCGCTTCTTCGTCCATCATCTCGCTCATGAAAGCCTTTCTTTCCATTACTCGCTCATCCCCCCAGTTTTTCCCCTTCCCGTGTCTCTTTTCCCCCCGCTGCTTCCCCCTTTTACCCATCTCCATATTTCTCCTGGTGGCAGGCGCAATCCAGTCAGAGGTACTGCTCTCTTGCCCCATTACCCTTCTCTTGTCTCGTGCTCGTGCTCTCTTGCCCTCGTGCCTCTTGCCCCTTCTTCCGTACCCCGTCCTTTATTCTCAAGTCCCACCGTTCGTCCTCTCCGCCTCACCCTCTCCGCACATCCCAGCGCCACCCCTCTGCCTTTCTGCTGCTCTTTATCTCATTATACCCTGGCACGTCTCAAAAGTCGTCTCATTACATCCTGGTCGCTTTGAGTCTCTGTCTTCCTCTTATTCTTTTCACTCTCTTCCGATCTGCCATCGCCGTGCCCAACAGGCCAAGGTGTTCACAGTGGGAGGCAGTGGGCTCAGTCCGTGGGGATTCGGCGTGAAGAAGTGGAAGCCCAAGGGCGTCATTCACGCCGGGGACACTCTCAGTAAGCGAGGTGGCTTTTGAGTCGACCCAAAATTCAGTCCGTGGGGATTCGGCGTGTAGAACTGGAAGCCAGAGGGGGTCATTCACGTCCCCTCCTTGACAGTGGTCGCTGCAAGGGGATGTTATAATAAAGAATGCCCCCTCCTTATTTCGGTTCCCCACTGCACCGTGGACTTTTACAACAACGGTAACTTCGGAGCTGCCTCACCCCACTGGCCCCATCGCACTGGCCTCACTTGCGTGTGCTTCCCTGCCCCACTTTCTGCACCCCTGCCTGCAGTGTTCAAGTGGGCTGGCGTGCCGCACGACGTGTGGATCATGAACAGCTTGGACGCGTACAACAACTGCAACTTTGGTGCTGCCACTAAGAAGACCGGCATCACAAGCGCGGGGAAGTACAAGTGAGTGCGCATAGGAGCGTTTTGAGTTGAGGCATTCCAGCTTATATATTCTTGGCACCGGTACCTGCGGCTTTGGGGCTGCTACTATGACGACTGGCATCACAAGAGTTGGGAAGAGCACACGAGTGCAATTGTGTTTATGTTTGTAGATACGCATGATGCCTGCGGTTTTGGCTTTGCTGCTGGGGAGACGGACTAATGGGGCGGTGAACTACAAGTGAGTGTGCAACACATTTTGATGAATCTGTGTTGGTGGCTGTAGCTTCCTGTTGCTGGACTTCCTTGCCTGGTGGCTGTGATCCCTCTTGCGGCTGTCACTGCAGTCCACACGATTATCCGCCAAGGTCTTCCACTACACGTATTTTTTGCTCCCAAATAGCTCAGTCAATTGTTACCATCCTCTTACGCAGTCATTGCTTCAATGGCTATTTCTTGCGCCCCCCCACCAATCGTTTGAATGTGCGTCAGGTACAAGGTGCCAGCGTCAGCCAAGGGCACATCCATTCTCTTCTCATGCAGCGTGCCTGGGCACTGCTCTTTGGATAACATGAAAGTGGCAGTACCAATCCATGCTTGAGTTTCTACTATCATTGTTTCTTTTGGCGTGCTGTTAGCTAATCTTTTGGCGTACTGTATATAACTGCTTGTGGGAGAATGCAGTGAAGAAACATACCATAGAGCTTCATGCGGCTGACTTGTTCCTGTGTCAATTGTTTTTAAACGCCATACAGTACAATAAGTTATTTTATCTTGCTGTTCGGTTTTGTCGCGCTTGACAGCACTCATTACATTGCAGTATGGTGAAAGTTGATGATACCTCGAACTGAACTGAACTTTAGCCAACTGGAAAAGAGACATTCTGCTCAATTCACACCTTTCAGATAATATCGAGTCAAGTCTGCTTCACAAGCCATCGAGTGAAGCCATTAACGGGTACGTATCCAGCCACTTCTTGGACCACAGGTGCATGCACCTACGGATTAAACTCCTTCCCCCCCCCCCCCCCCCCCCCCCATATCCCCACTGTACAGAGCTTCCATTGGCTGACTCCTCCCTTCACCACCACACACCACAGCGTGAATGGACCAAAACCTGCTTTGAGCAATCATTCAAAGCAGGATGCGTCGCCGACACCACGCGTTTCTTTGCGATTCGTCGTCGCCGCTACGCGAGCCTTCCTCAGACGAGCCGTTCCCACATTCGCCCATGTACGTAGAAGCGAAGCACGGTATAGTACTAGGCCTGGTGACTGAATGAATGGTCACTATGGTTTTGGACAGGTCGGATCGCTGTACAGTACGGACCATTAGTCTGTCGGTGGCGCTTGGAGTGAGTGCGAGGAGAGACAGTGAGAGAGCCGCCGCTCAGAATGTTGCGGAATGTGGCTGGCAGGACGATTAGGAAGCAACGTGGCGTCTTGCTTTCTTCCCTCTCGTCTCAATTCGAGCTGGTCAAACCTTGCACACGGCATCATCTCGACCTTTGTACTGTATACACTGCGCGCGAGTGTGAGAGCATGTCCCTTCCCTGCTCCACAGACACCAACGCTTGAACGAAATGCAGTGGCGCGCACGGCGAGCGGGGAGAAGCAACGCGGCTCAGCCGCATTTTAGAATCCAGGTTCCCCCGGCAGCAACGGACCTAAGCCGAATTGTTTTACCAGATTCACGCAAGACGCGACGTCGGTTCGTAGCGTGCGAGTGCAGGACGGAGTACTTTCCAGTCGAGGAGCAAGGACCGGAGTAAGAAGAGCGGCTACATATATAATTTATGAGTAATGCATTCAAAGATGTTATAGACTTGGACACACTAGGCGTTACTTCACGATTCACTCGCACAGAAGCCCAGCTTTTAGACTCACCTCTCTTCACCGCAAAAACCTGTAATCGCGAAGCCCGTGCTTGGCGGTTCGAGTACAGATCTGAGATCGCGCGCGGCGGTTAAGGACGGTCAGGACTGACACAGCGCTTCTATCGCCAAGGCCGTGCTTTAGAGACATCACTCGGGCGGGCAGGTCAGACACAGCGCGCCTATCGCCTGCGCCGTGGCGTCTTGAGGCGTTTCAAAGCAAACGGTTGGGGACAGGCAGAGCTGACGCATAGCTTCTATCATCGCCTACCGCGACCGTCTATCAACTGTCGCTTGAGAGCGTGTTGCTGGAAGATTTTTGAGCGAGGTCTATCACCCTCTCCAAGGTGACCTGTCCGCCAAGGTGTACCTTTCCGCTCGGCGATTCCGACGACAGTCCGTCTTCCTCCTGCCGCTTCGCACAACCGTTCGGCGCCGCAGCGCCACAGGTGTCCGGCTCGAGTCACATCTGTCCAAGCCTCACAACTATCGAAGCGCTTCAAAAACTGAATCATCTCTTGAAGCCTTTCGAACCTCGCTTATCGCCATGGCTCGCTCGCTCCCTGCCGTCACCCTCGCGACTGCTGCGCTTCTCATCCTGCTCTGTACGCCTGCCTTCCGCTTGAACCGTTTGCCTTCCGCTTGAGCCGTTTGCCTTCCGCTTGAACCGTTTGCCTTCCGCTTGAGCCGTCTGCCTTCCGCTTGAACCGTCTGCCTTCCGCTTGAACCGTCTCTCGCCTGGTTGCCTTCGTTGCTTGGCTGGCCTCTTCCTCACGCCCATTTATCAAAGCCTTTCCAAGGCATCGCTTTCATTTGCTGATTCTCTTTGGCCTCGCGTCGCCTTTACCCAAATCTGCGGCTTCGGCTCCTCTCCCACTCCAGTCCTCACGCCGTGTCACTTTCGGATGCTGTTCAAACCATTCAGCAACACACTCATACCCTCCTCCTTCCTGTCTCTCTGTGCTTCCTTCCCTGTCTTCTGTCCTCCTTCCCTGTCTTCTGTCCCCCTTCACTCCTGTGCTCCCATCTCTTCCTGCTTCCGTGCTTTCTCTCTCTCTCTCTCTCTCTCTCTCTCTCTCTCTCTCTCTCTCTCTCTCTCTCTCTCTCTCTCTCTCTCTCTCTCTCTCTCTCTCTCTCTCTCTCTCTCTCTCTCTCTCTCTCTCTCTCTCTCTCTCTCTCTCTCTCTCTCTCTCTCTCTCTCTCTCTCTCTCTCTCTCTCTCTCTCTCTCTCTCTCTCTCTCTCTCTCTCTCTCTCTCTCTCTCTCTCTCTCTCTCTCTCTCTCTCTCTCTCTCTCTCTCTCTCTCTCTCTCTCTCTCTCTCTCTCTCTCTCTCTCTCTCTCTCTCTCTCTCTCTCTCTCTCTCTCTCTCTCTCTCTCTCTCTCTCTCTCTCTCTCTCTCTCTCTCTCTCTCTCTGCTTCCCTGTCTCCCTGTTTGCTGCGTTTTCCTCTTCCCCTGTTCCTCTGTTCTGCCTTCTCTCCCCATTTCTCTGTGTTCTATTCCCCGCGTTATTCTGTGTTTCTGTTTCTCTTTTTTTCGCTTGCCATCCTCGCGATCCGCAAACTCGGGTTGAACGACATGAATTCTTTCTGGCTTCAGGCGCAACCCAAGCAGAGGTGCGAATTTACTCCCCTGCTGCACTCTTCTCTCCGACTCAGAGTCTGCATTTTTTATTCCTATGAAGCTAGGGAGTATGCCACAGAAAGCTAATCCGACATGCTCCCGATGTGTGAAACCTATTGTTAAACCAGCCATTGTCACAGCGGTTCATTTCAGTATTGGCCATTTCATCGCGTGTTTTGCCCTCTTCCCTCGTGTCCATCCGTTTCGTTTCATGTTTCGTTGGAGACAAAACGCCTCTCTCCTCGTGCCCTTCCCCTGATGTCAGGCCAGAGCGATCACCGTGGGTGGCAGGGGGCGCAGTCCCTGGCGCTACAACCTGCACAACTGGCGCCCCTCGACGGCTGTTCGTGCAGGCGATGTGCTCGGTACGTCTCCTTGTCACCTTCCTGCTACTCGTGGCATGTGTTGTTGCTCGGCTCTGCTCTTACTCAAAAGCAGTGAGCTTTGAGGCATCTAAAAACTTGAATGTCCCCTCTATACCCTGCTGTTGCTCATGGCCTGTGACTTGTGGCTCGTGATGTGTGGCTCGTGAGCTTAGTCCATTACCCATTCCATCCAGTCCGTTACCTGTTCCATCCGGTTCATCACTGATTCCAGTGTGCGCGCATGTGCTCCTCTCTCACCATTTGTGGCACATAAACGCACCTGCAGTGTTCAAGTGGAGGGGCGTCATTCCCCATGACGTGGTCCTCATGGACTCAGAGGGCACCTATGGAAGCTGTGACTTCGGAGCTGCTAAGAAGCTCACACGGATCGTCAACTCCAAGACGTACAGGTGAGCACACCGTTTTCTAGCCAGTTTGGACCATTGATGATTCCACCAACAATTGCCTTCGATAGCTGGAGTGACTGAGCTTTGTTGGATGGTGGGCTGCCTTGGATTGGTTTTATGGCTCGATTTCGTCTAGTATGTGAAATGTCAACTGCTTGTTTTGATGATCATGTCACATGCTCAGGTACAAGGTGCCGCAGTCAGCAAGGGGCCAGACCCTTTACTTCTCCTGCAGTGTGCCTGGCCACTGCTCGCCTGGCAACATGAAAGTGGCCATTCAAGTCAAGACATGAGATGCACTTCGTGGAATGCCGACTAGTAAATGCTTGGTTGTAGTACAACAAATAACGCTAGTGTATATAATATTGCTTCTGATACCGTATATCAAGTTTTTCTCAAGTGACTACACTCTCCGCACGTGCTGCAGTGGGAAGAATGCTGGAAGGGCGGGAAACGAACTTTGCAGAACAGAAAGCGGTCCCAAAGTTGGAACGTGATTTACACTTTGAGAGCGAACCGCCACCTCGAAAATACGCTTGCAACTCCCTAGGAACGACCTCGATAGTTTCCGGCTTGGCCCCAGTCCTCACTCTGCATGGCTAGCAGTCCTTCTCTGGGATATAAACGTCGCTCTGCTTCGTAGGTTCTCGTGCCTTGCTGTATCCTTCGTTCAGTTTTGAGAGCTCGCATTAGCTTTCCAATGTTGCGCTCTGTAGTAATGTCGTCAACATAGATTGTGTCGTGCTCTAACCCTTCGCGATAGTCATCCACGGGTCGAGCGAGGCTCATGGCGCCGAAGCGGGAGCGCGTTAGTCGTTCAGGCGAGTCGGCGAGGCGCGTGACCCGGTCGACGAGCGTACAGGAGGAGGTGGAGCGAGAGGATGCGGAGGAGGGGCAGGAGGTAGCGGGGATTGCGGAGGTAGCCGCGGAGGAGGCCCATACCGAACCACAGACGACGCGTGAGCGACGCGATGATCGTCGTGCGGAGATGAACGGCTCAGATGAAAGCGGGACTCGCCGGAGCAAGCGACTTAGGACGGGGGGAGCGAGCGGCGGCGATGGTTCCTCTTCGCAGCAGCCGGCTGACGTGGTGAAGCGAGAACGAGCCGCGGGCCCGGTGAAAAGTGAAGCTGACGTGGCCGTGAGGCGCCAAGCTGGAATGGTGAAACGGGAGGCTGCTATCTTGGCGAAGCGGGAAAACGTCTCTCGCGCCAAGGGCAAGGAAAAAGTGGTTGAGAGCAACAACGGCTATCATGCCGAGGCTGTCGGTTACGAGCCAGATGGCTACGTTCGGGATTCGCAGGCTGCCGGACCTAGTACGCAGCCTCGCGCTCGCGAACGCGCCGAGCCTGAAGAAGACGCCGAACGTCCGGTTACTCCGTCCGGTATGGGGGAGGATCGGGACGGACCTGAAGGCACACCGACACAGGCTCTTCCTCGCGCCATGCCACGGTACTATTTCTGAGGAGCCTCAATACCTTATTCTTTGCGCCTCGTCATACCACTGTACTATTTTTGCGGTAGCCAAAAGTTTGAATCCTAGCGCCATGCCACAGTACTATTTCTGAGCAGCCTCAAAATTGATTTTTCAGCGTCATACCACAGTGATTACGTTGCTTGCTCCTCACGACCATCCCTTCCCACCTTCCAGCTTCCCATCACAACCCTCTCACTCCCCTCCCCTTCCTCCCCTTCCTTCCCTTTCCCTCCCCTTTCACTCCCCTCCCCTTCCTCCGCCCTCCCCCCTCTGCACCCTTCCCCTTCTTCCTGCCAATGTTGATGTTGCTCTCCACACACCAATCAGAGGCGAGGACGGGTTCCAGCCTGGCAATATCCTATTGGTGCAGGTGAAACACTTCATGACGTATGCGTCCATCTCAGCGCGCCCCTCGCCGCGCCTCAACCTCATCGTGGGGCCCAACGGCTCCGGCAAGAGCTCGCTCGTCTGCGCTATCGGGCTGGGGCTGGGCGGAGAACCCAAGGTGAGCATTGTGCTCACTCTTTCTATGTCACACCGATCCTGATGCCTGGACTCAACCCAACGGCTCCGGCAAGAGCTCCCTCGTCTGCGCCATCGGGCTGGGGCTGGGCGGAGAACCCAAGGTGAGCATTGTGCTCACTCTTTCTATGTCACACCGATCCTGATGCCTGGACTCAACCCAACGGCTCCGGCAAGAGCTCCCTCGTCTGCGCCATCGGGCTGGGGCTGGGCGGAGAACCCAAGGTGAGCATTGTGCTCACTCTTTCTATGTCACACCGAACCTGATGCCTGGACTCAACCCAACGGCTCCGGCAAGAGCTCCCTCGTCTGCGCCATCGGGCTGGGGCTGGGGGGTGAACCCAAGGTGAGCTGCATCAGTGCACGAGTGCGTGATTGATTGGTGGCACACTTGTCGGGCAAGAGCTCCCGCGTCTGCGCCATCGGGCTGGGGCTGGGCGGAGAACCCCAAGGTAATGGCTGCTTCCCCTCTCTTCCTCCCGTAGACTGAACTGAATCGGACCCTCACTCGTCAGTTTACCAAGCAGGCAAATGGTGGGAGGGAAATGGTGGGAGGGAAAACCCCGAGACCTCGAAACAGTATTTTCAGAAGTTTGACTTTTGCTTCTGTTCCGAGGTTCCTCATTTGTCACTTAACCCTCGCCATTCCTACCCTCGCCATTCCTACCCTCCTGTTTCTTCCCCCCTCTGGCCCCCTCCCTGATCTGCTGGTTTGCAGATTCTTGGCCGGGCGGCGCACAGCGGGCGAGCACAGTGCGGAGCATCGTGCTGCGCTGGGGAGTGTACGCCAGTCAGCATCACTGGATTCACCGCTGAGAACTTTCAGAAGTCACGACTTTTTCTCTCCCCACCCTTTCCCCAGCACAACCCCATCCCCCGTTCCCGACCGCCCCCCCTCCGCCCTTCCCCTTCCCCTCTGTGCTGGGTGGCAGATGCTGGGACGGGCGGTGCACGTGGGGGAGTTTGTGCAGCGGGGGGAGCGCAGTGCGGAGATCAGCATCGTGCTGCGGGGGGACGTGGCTGGGGAAGAGGTGCACGTCACCCGCAAGATCTCCATCGAGAATCGCACTGACTGGCTGCTCAACGGTATGACTCTGGATTCGTCTCAGAGGCAAGTCACTTGCAGGATCTCCACTGAGAATCGCACTGACTGGCTGCTCAATGGTTTGACTCTTCTTTTGGGTCGACTCAAACGCATGTCACGGGCAGGCAGGATCACTTGATAACTGCACTGACTGGCTGCTCAACGGTTGACTCGACTCAAAAGGCATGCCACGGGCAGGATCACTTGAGAACCGCAATGGCTGGCTCCTCAACAACGGTATGCCTGCCTGCTGTGGTTTGAAAAGGTACAGAAACTCGACTTTCTAAGTGAGATTTGGGCGTCATTGAACTTCACTTCTGACTCGCGGCATGCTGTGCAGTGACAGGCGTGGTATGGCATTTCGATACGCATGGCAATGCTGTGCCTTCTTAGGAATTGTACACTTGTGTTGCATGATGAACCTTGCATTCGCTGTTATGCGCTCTGCCCCTCCTTCCGTTCTTTCTCTCGCCGTACGATGCACTCTCCCCCTTTGCGCAGGGCATGGAGTGCGGCGGGATCAGGTGCAGGAGTGCATGAAGCGCTTCAACATCCAGATCTCTAACCTCACACAGGCACGTGCTGTGGGGAACATAGTGAAGCGCTTCAAGTGCTGTGGGGCACATAGTGAAGCGCTTCAAGTGCTGTGGGGCATGCTGCGACGTGAAATGAGAGTGTTTTTGAGACGTCTCAAAAGCAGGTGCAGGAGTGCATGAAACGCTTCAACATCCAGATTTCCAACCTCACACAGGCAAGTGCAGTGCAGTGGGGCAAGAGGTGTGCCTTCCAAAGACATGCACAACAGCCCACCCCATCTCGCTCGCCCCCCTTCTTTCTTCTGCTTCAACGCCATCACAGTTGTTTTCACTTCAACCGAATCCCTCTTCTAGCCACACCACACCCCCTCATTTCCCCCGAATATCTCAGCTGCAGTTCCTCTTGAAAGACCTCATGTGTGTGTTTGCAGGCATGTCACTCGTGCAGCTGCTGGAGGATCCCCCTTTTATCGAACCCCGTTCCTCATCCCCCTTCCCCCTTCTCCATCCCCTTTACCCCTTCCCCATCACCCTTCCCCCTTCCCCATCCCCCTTCCCCCTATCCGCTTCTCCCTTTCCCATCCCCTCTCGCCCTCCGCCCCCTTGTCACCCGCAGTTCCTCCCACAGGACCGGGTGTGTGCGTTCGCGGGCATGTCGCCCATACAGCTGCTGGAGGAGACGCAAAGGGCAGTGGGCGACCCACAGCTCTCCCAGCAGCACGCCTTCCTCAAAGACCAGCAGGACGCCCTCGCCACCCTGCATGCTGTGAGTGACATGGGGCTGGAGTGGGGGCTTCTGGAGTGGGTGGGGGTACCTTTGTGTCGACTCAAGAGTAGACCCACAGCTGTCCCAGCAGCACGCCTTCCTCAAGGACCAGCAGGACGCCCTCGCCACCCTGCACGCCGTGAAATGGGGCTGGGTTTCCTTTTTGTGCCGAGCAGCTGCGCATTTCTCCAGTGCTGGTTAAGCAGATATTGGACTTCTCAACCTAAGGATTTTTAATCCAAATTGCCTGCACACATACTCACCAAGAGCATACCAACCTACATGCATGTTTTCAATCCAACCCATGGTATGGATCTCTTGACCGCATGCCTCCATGCGCCCATGCATGCCATGTCCCTATTGCGCCGCAGACGCTGGTGTCGCACGAGGAGCAGCTGGGCAAGCTGCAGGTGGCGAACGCGCAGGTGGAGGTGGATGTGGAGAAGGTGCAACGCAGGGAGGCCATTCTCAAGGAGGTGAGTGGTGCTGTTGGGGGGTGATTTGTCCCAAAGGTCACCTTGTGGAGGTGGAGGTTGGTGTGAGAGGCGTGATGGGTGTGTGTGAGTAGACCTGAGCACAGTTATCCTGTCTGTCAGATACAGTTCGACTTGAATGGAGCATGGTTTGAGTTCAAACTGTTCAGTTTGGTTCAACTTCATATTGCTGAAGCGATTGAGCCAGTTTGATTCCGTCTCGACACGAAGGTGCATTTTGGTGAGTTGAAGCTTACCTCCAACTTCCAACTCTCTCCTTAGCTTGCTCCCACGCACCCCTAGCTCTCTAGTGTTGTACCGTTCTCTAGTGGCAACTGCAGGTCGAAACCTGTGTAAGGTGGGGAGGAACAAGAACCAGACTCTCTTTCCCACTTCCACTCTCCTCCTTCCGCCCTCTCCTCCTCCCACTCTCTCCCCCTCTGCTCCCTGCATGCAGGTCGCACTGATGAAGAAGAAGGTGACATAGCTCAAGTACGAGCGCATGAAGCGGCGGGCGATGACGTCCTCATTCGCTCCTCCTTCCGCTCCCTTTCCCCCCCTCCTACTCTACCCTCCACCCATGCAGGTAGCGCTGATGAAGAAGAAGGTGCCGTGGCTCAAGTACGAGCGGGTGAAGCGGCGTGTGAGGGAGATGGAGGTAGCGGTGGAGGCGATGCACAAAGAGAGAGATGACCTGCAGACACAAGTCATGGCCGCTCGGGACCCCCTTGTGTGAGTGCTGAGTGTTAGAGGATGTTACGTGGTTACCAGTTAACAGTTAATGAATTCAGGTTGCTGGTCTGACTTCTACTTTTTTCACTCCTCGCCACCACCTCTCCCGCATTCTCAACCCCTCTCCACCACTCTTTCCTCCCCTCCAGAGCGTTGAAGGAGAGTCGAGGGGGGTTTGCATCGCTGGTGGCCAAGATAGGGCGCGAGAACGAGGCGAGGGAGAGGAAGCTGCGGGAACTGGCAGAGGAGAGCGACCAGCTGGTGAGGAGGAATAAGGAATGTGGGGAAAGGGAGAGTGACCAGCTGATGCGAAGAGAAGGGTGGCAAAGGGTAGTATTGACGTGCTTTGCTGACGTTTGGGGCACCGCAAAAGGTACCAACCTTGCACCTGGGAGAGACGTGCTCCTCGCATCACATCATCTCACAGCTGCTCGCCTCCCTTGAGAGGGAGCGGAACGTGGTGGGGGAGGTGCACATGGCAAGAGAGAAAGACCAGCTTAGTTTGAATCTGAAATTGCTCCTCTCCTCACACTGTGCATCATACACTGTACTGTACACATTCTCGGCCCCTTTGCCCCCACAGGTGCAGCAGGCGGTGGAGAGGCAGCGTGACGTGGTGGAGGCGCGGAGGGCGAGATGCTGAGATCAACGTAGTCTATCCCCAAAAGGTCTTCTCACATCACACCACACACTGTACAATGTACACTCCCCCTGTGTGCCCCCACAGGTGCAGCAGGCGGTGGAGAGGCAGCGCGACGTGTTGGAGGCGAAGAAGAAGGCGGAGAGTCGCGAGCAGCGGCTGGCCAAGGCACTGGCCGACCTGCAGCAGCTGGAGGCGCAGCTCGCCGCCCTGCCGGAAGTCAAACCGCCCAAGGCCGCCGTGGTGCGTGATGGAAAAAAGGCCGCATGGGGCGTGGGGCATGAGATCATGGGTGAGGCGATGAGTGGGTGCGTGCGTGTTCTGGAGCGAGCTCGGGATGACCTGCAGCAGCTGGACGCGCGCAGCTGGCCGCACTGCCGGAAGTGAAACCGCCCAAGGTCGCTGTGGTGCGTGATGGAAGAGGGGGGGGGTGGGCATGGGGCATGGGGCACGAGATGATGAGTGAGGGTGAGGCAGTGAGTGTGTGTGCGTGCGCTCGAGCAACCAGCAGTAGCTGGAGTCGCAGCTGGCCTCCCTGCTGGAAATGAAGCCACCCAAGGACGCTGTGGTGCATGATGGGGGAAACAGGGAGCTGTTCTTTCTGAGATGCTTCATCACTCCATTTCCGTGCCATCTCTCCCCCGTGTCTGGCCCTTTTCTGTATGCCTAGACGAGCCGAACAATTAGATATGGTACAGAGAAGTGAAGTGGGTACTATTGAGACTTGAGTGTGAGACCAGCACAGGAGGTTGAAGGACAAGCCACCAATTCCAGTTGCCACATGGCACTTAGCGGAAGGCAGATTTCTTTCTTCAGTCTGTGCTTGCTTGCTTGCTTGAGTGGCATGCATGCCTCTTCCTCCTCCACGTGAACCTCAAACCCTTTCTTCAAGTTCCCTTTTTTTCTTTCGTCATCTTATTTCCTTTCTCCCTCAAATGTCTCAAATCTCCCTCCCCTCGCTCCCTCCGTTTGTTTCACTCACCCTTGTCTGGCCGATGGCAGGATCCTTTGGCAAAACGTGGGAGGGAGTTGCGGATGCAGGCGGGGGAGAAAGAGCGAGAGGGGCGGCAGCTGGAGCAGCAGATGAGTGTGCTGAGGGAGCAGATGGGACGCGTTGAGAGACGGTGAGAAGGGTGTGAGGGAGGGAGAGTGAGGGGTGAGAAGAGGCGAGAAGGAAAGTGGCAGCTGGGGCTCGTGGAGAGATGGTGAGAGGGGGTGAGAGGCGGTGAGAGGGGGTGATAGGCGGTGAGACGGGGTGAGAGGGGATGTGAGGCAGTGAGAGGGGACGAGAGCAGTGCGAAGGGGTGGGAGGCAGTGAGAGGAGGGAGATTTGGGTTTATTGAGTTGTGTATCTGCAATACCGCCCCTCCCCTTCCTCTCCCAAGGCCGCGTAATGCAAGAGCACCATTTGAGTCGACACTCATCCCCCTTCCCTCCCCCCTCGTCTCCCCCACCCTCATGCGCCAACAGGCACATACAGAGGTCTCATGCTCCCTCACCATTCCCCCCCCTTCCCCCTCCCCTCACCAGCATGCATAAGGTGGCCAACGGTCGCAACCGGCGCATAGGGAGGGGTTTGACATGTTCCAACCCCACCCTTCCACCACCCACCACTCCCCCTCTCCCCCCCCCCCCCTCCCCCTCTTCTCCGCCCACCAGCATAAACGAAGTGGCCAACAGTCGCAACCGGCGCATAGAGCGGGCGGGTGACAGGGAGCTGAAGCAGGCGTGTGAGTGGCTCGACCACAACCGCACTCAGTGCAAGGGGGCCGTCTACGGACCCATCCTCGCAGAGGTGCGATGCAGTTTTGAGAGGTGAGATTCGATTTTAGAGGTGGGATTCATCTTCAGCTTTAAGATTTCTGAGAATCCAGTGCAAGGGCGCCGTTTACGGACCCATTCTCGCCGAAGTGCGACCCAGCTTTGGAATGTGCGACCCAGCTTTGAAAGGTGCGACCCAGCTTTGAAAGGTGACCCAACTTTGAAAGGTGACCCAGCTTTGAAGGGTGCGACCCAGCTTTGAAAGGTGCGACACAGTTTTGAAGTGCGACCCAGCTTTCAAAGGTGCGACCTAGCTTTGAAAGGTATGACCCATCTTTGTAAGGTGCGACCCAGCTTTGAAAGGTGCGACCCAGCTTTGAAAGGTGTGACTCAGCTTTGAAAGGTGCGACCCAGCTTTGAAAGGTGAGATGCAGGCTTGAGAGGTGGTATTCTAGCTTCGGCATTGAGACGCCTACGAATCCATTCAAGGGAGGTGAGTGCAAACGAGGACCCTTGCCAACATATGTTTGAATGAATAGCTGGGGAAGACAAGGGGTGTAGGAAAGCCGTCCAAGGGAGGTGGGTTTTTCAGGCGGAAGAAGGGAGAAGCGCTTGGAAAGTTCTGCTCCGAACAGACAGTCGATGGGAAGAAAAGAAACATGGGTATTCATGAGAGCGAGCGGAGCAGGAACTTCGGTATCATCATCTGTTGGATGGCCCACTATTCAGATACTGACTTGCTCTTCTACGACATGGGTGAGACAGACGTCAAAGCGTGATCGGAACATTAGAACTTCGCGAAGCGTACGCCGACTGGAGTCTAGAACGTTATCCACGACATTCATCTTTGCAGGATTGATAAGTCAGTTTCGCATCTTGGACTGGATTGTCGAATATACAGTGTCTTAACGAATCATTACGTGTTTGTTATCTCAATTCTACAGTTTCAGTTCCGTCATGAAGAAAACCAACGAGCGTCTGGCGACGGGAGTAGATTGACAGACTGGCCTCTGCGAACGAGTCGGCCGAGCAATGCTGATTGGCTGCACTGGTGTGGAGTCCCTCCTGCAGGGTTCGCATTGCAACAATTTTCCCCTCCAACACCGAGTTCCATTCCTTCTTTACGAACCGGTTGTCTGCGACTTGATGCAATGCAACCATGCTGCATCGAGCAGCTTTTGCAGCTTGCTTCGACAGCTCCTCGTTGTCGCAGTTCCGCGCGCGACTGTTATGGCGCCTGTTTTATAACCTTCTGCTGGAGTGCCAATTGACGCTCCCCAGAACGTGGAGAGCGCAGACGCTACTCCAGCAGCGAACCCTGCAGGAGGGACTCCGTCTGGGGCCGGCTCCACACCAGTGTAGCCAATCAGCATTGCCCGGCCGACTCGTTCGCAGAGGCCAGTCTGCCAATCTACTCCCGTCGCTAGACGCTCGTTGGTTTTCTTCATGACGGAACCGAAACTGTAGAATTGAGATAACAAACACGTAACGATTCGTAAAGACAGTGTATATTCGACAATGCAGTCCAAGATGCGAAACTGGCTTATCAATCCTGCAAAGATGAATGTCGTGGATAACGTTCTAGACTCCAGTCGGCGTACGCTTCGCGAAGTTCTAATGTTCTGATCATGCTTGGACGTCCGTCTCACCCATGCCGTAGAAGAGCAAGTCAGTATCTGAATAGTAGGCCATCCAACAGATGATGATACTGAAGTTCGTGTTCCGCTCGCTCTCATGAATACCCATGTTTCTTTTCTTCCCATGGACTGTCTGTTCGGAGCAGAACTTTCCAAGCGCTTCTCCCTTCTTCCGCCTGAAAATCCTACCTCCCTTGAATGAATTTTCTACACCCCTCGTCCTCGTACAAGGGCGGTGTTACAGATTTGGTCTTGCTGAGACGGGACTCTTGCAACATATGTTTGAATGAATAGAGTCTGTAGAAACCGGCTTGCGCTCCTGCTTCACCTGAGACAGCGGAAAGCATGAGTATTAATATCTTGTGTTGTGTGTGAAACTAGTGTGTATCAGAAGCGCTCTTGCACTCCGTTTGGCTGCACCAGTTTCCGCTTAGGGATTGAGACGCGATGCAGGTTTCCCTTTGAGAATTCTCCTCTGCTCTGAGGGCAGTTAGGTGCGGTGCGTTGCTCCTCTGCTCCCTTATCCCCTCTGCCTCTCCCTTCCAACCCCCTGCACCCTCAGGTGAACGTTATCGACCCCGATGCGCATGCAGTCTTTCTTGAGGGTCCTTCACACTCCCCATGCTATGCTCCCACGCCCTCTCTTCCCCTCTTTGTTCCATTCCCCCCCTCCACCTCCCTGCACCCTCAGGTGAACGTTATCGACCCCGATGCGCATGCAGCCTGCCTAGAGCAGCACGTGCCGGTGTGGGTGTGGAAGGTTAGCAACTTCTGACTCTCACACTCTCTTTGAACGCTGCTTGTGATAAGCCTGCTATTCAAGTGTTCAATAACGGGGTGGGTGTGGAAGGCAAGCAAGCAATATGTGGTATAATGGGTGTTGGTCAGAAGCACACTGTTTCTTTGCGCCTCTCTCCATATTGGATTCTCATATTCTCATCTTCTTCTCTTCTCCTATTACCCTCTCCCCCGGGCAGGCCTTTGTGACAACAGCACAGGAGGATCGAAACCTGCTGTTGCGCCACTTAACCGCTCCTGCTGCCCCCGCTCTCCAGATCTCCCCCTCTCCCGCTCTCCCATCTCTGCACGGCAGGCCTTTGTGACAACAGTACCGGAGGACCGGGATTTCCTGGTGCGCCACTTAAAGCCCCTCGGTTTGGCGGTGGTCAACGAGAGCAGTCGCCCTGAGGAGCTGGGTCCTCCTGCACATGCCATGGCGGTGGATGCACATGTGAGTGATGCCACATGCCATGGCGGTGGATGCACATGTGAGTGATGCCACATGCCATGGCGGTGGATGCGCATGTGAGTGATGCCACATGCCATGGCGGTGGATGCACATGTGAGTGATGCCACATGCCGTGGCGGTGGATGCACATGTGAGTGATGCCACATGCCATGGCCGTGGATGCACATGTGAGTGATGCCACATGCCATGGCGGTGGATACACATGTGAGTGATGCCACATGCCATGGCGGTGGATGCACATGTGAGTGATGCCACATGCCATGGCGGTGGATGCACATGTGAGTGATGCCACATGCCATGGCGGTGGATGCGCATGTGAGTGATGCCACATGCCATGGCGGTGGATGCACATGTGAGTGATGCCACATGCCATGGCGGTGGATGCACATGTGAGTGATGCCACATGCCAGCGGTGGATGCACATGTGAGTGATGCCACATGCCATGGCGGTGGATACACATGTGAGTGATGCCACATGCCATGGCGGTGGATGCACATGTGAGTGATGCCACATGCCATGGCGGTGGATGCACATGTGAGTGATGCCACATGCCATGGCGGTGGATGCACATGTGAGTGATGCCACATGCCATGGTGGTGGATGCACGTGTGAGTGATGCCACATGCCGTGGCGGTGGATGCACATGTGAGTGATGCCACATGCCATGGCCGTGGATGCACATGTGAGTGATGCCACATGCCATGGCGGTGGATGCACATGTGAGTGATGCCACATGCCATGGCGGTGGATGCACATGTGAGTGATGCCACATGCCATGGCCGTGGATGCACATGTGAGTGATGTGCTGTGAGAGGCGGCATGCAGTTCTAACGACTGTTTGGTGCAATAATCTCGCCTGATGTGACCCCTTCTCAAGACTTACTCCTCCATTCTTCTTCCCCTGCCTCAGTAAGGTCGTTCTCTTCGTCCCTCTTGAGCTTCAGACATGTCTCAGTGAGCTGCGTGCGTGCAGTAGGCTTAAAGCAAAGGAAAAACAGCGGTAGACTTCCGCTCTGTGTAAATATCTGAGAAAGTGAACTCTAGGCTATCCACTCCCAGGTCAAGGAGGTCACCGGTCCCATTCTTCTTCCCCTGCCCCAATAAGGTCGATCCCTTCGTCCCTCTTCCCTCGTTCCTTCTTCCACCTGCTCTCCTTCCTCCCCCCTTCCCTTTCTCCTTTTTCCTGGCTTCTTACTTCCTCCTACTTTCCCTCTTCCACCCTCTCTCCCTTGGTTCCCTCTCTCCTTCTCTCGCCCTCACTGCTCCCACCCACCCACACGCATCGCCCCCAACAGCTGCAGCGCCTAGGTGTCACGCACCGATTGGACGAGGTGTTCAACGCGGCCCCAGTGGTGCGCAGTGTGCTCAACCAGCAGTCGCAGCTCTTCCGCTCGGTGAGTGCTGCCTGCAGCCATGTGTGTGTGTGTGGGTGGGTGGATGGCTCTGTGTGTGTGTGTGTGTGTGTGTGTGTGTGTGTGTGTGTGTGTGTGTGTGTGCGCGCGCGCGTGTGTGTGTGTGTATGTGTGTGAGTGAGTGTGTGTGCATGCGTGTGTGTGTGTGTGTGTGTGTGAATATGTGTGCGTGCTTGTGTGAGTGTGCGTGTGAGTGAGTGCGTGTGAGCATGGGAGGCCGATCAACACATGGAGGCAATACAGAGGCTGGGCGGGAAAGAGTGTGGATAACTGACAGCCACTTCATCTGGATAACTGACAGCCTCTTCATCTGGATAACTGACAGCCTCTTCATCTGGATAACTGACAGCCTCTTCATCTGGATAACTGACAGCCTCTTCATCTGGATTACTGACAGCCTCTTCATCTGGATAACTGACAGCCTCTTCATCTGGATAACTGACAGCCTCTTCATCTGGATAACTGACAGCCTCTTCATCTGGATAACTGACAGCCTCTTCATCTGGATAACTGACAGCCTCTTCATCTGGATAACTGACAGCCTCTTCATCTGGATAACTGACAGCCTCTTCATCTGGATAACTGACAGCCTCTTCATCTGGATAACTGACAGCCTCTTCATCTGGATAACTGACAGCCTCTTCATCTGGATAACTGACAGCCTCTTCATCTGGATAACTGACAGCCTCTTCATCTGGATAACTGACAGCCTCTTCATCTGGATAACTGACAGCCTCTTCATCTGGATAACTGACAGCCTCTTCATCTGGATAACTGACAGCCACTTCATCAAATTTTTGCCCATCACTCTCCCTCGTGTACACTCGCTTCCCCTCCTCCCTCCTCCCGCTCTTTCGAGTTCCACACCACATTACATGACACCACACCACACCACACCACACCACACCACACCACACCACGCCACGCCACACCACACCACACCACACCACACCACACCACACCACATGACACCACACCACACCACGTGACACCACACCACACCACACCACACCACACCACACCGCACCACACCACACCACACCACACCACACCACGCCACACCACACCACACCACACCACATGACACCACACCACACCACACCACACCACGCCACGCCACACCACATCACACCACACCACACCACACCACACCACGCCACGCCACACCACACCACACCACGCCACGCCACACCATACCACGCCACACCACACCACAACACACCACACCACGCCACGCCACACCACACCACGCCACGCCACGCCACACCACACCACACCACGCCACGCCACACCACACCACACCACACCACACCACACCACACCACACCACGCCACGCCACACCACACCACGCCACACCACACCACACCACACCACACCACACCACACCACACCACGCCACGCCACACCACACCACATGACACCACACCACACCACGTGACACCACACCACGCCACACCACACCACACCACACCACACCACACCACACCGCATCACACCACACCACACCACACCACACCACGCCACACCACACCACACCACACCACACCACATGACACCACACCACACCACACCACACCACGCCACGCCACACCACATCACACCACACCACACCACACCACACCACACCACGCCTCGCCACACCACACCACACCACGCTACGCCACACCACACCACACCACACCACACCACACCACACCACACCACGCCACACCACACCACACCACGCCACGTCACATCACACCACACCACACCACACCACACCACACCATGCCACGCCACACCACACCACACCACACCACACCACACCACGCCACGCCACACCACACCACACCACACCACACCACACCACACCACGCCATGCCTTGCAGTTCGTTGGATCGGCAGAGGCGGATCGGAACGCGGAGGCGATACAGGAGAGGGGAGTGGAGGACCTGTGGACGCCGGAGAGCCACTACCGCTGGCTGCGCTCGCGCTACAACGGCTCCCTCTCCATCAATGCACACGGCGTGCGCCCCTCCCGCTTCTTCTCCCAAGGTGGGCCCCTCCCCCCTGCTTCTTCCACCAAGGCGCCTGCAGCTGCATTGCACTCTCATGCAAAGCTTGCGTTACTGGTAACTCATTTTCTATGGTTTCTCAAGGCGAGTGTGCAGATGTCTCGAGTGTCGGTCATTGTCTCTCCAGCTCCAGCTGCCTGCACTTCTCCCTCTTCAACTCTGAATGGATCCCTCCAATCCTTTCCCTGGCTTGGCACTGTCAGTGCGGCTGAGGTTGAAACCTGATAATAAGAGCTGTTTCTCTTGAGATGTTATGCATTGCCTCCCACTCGTTTGCAGTCATGTCTCCATGCGAGCGATTCATTGTGTTTTTAACGACGCTTGTTTGTTTCTGCGTTTGCCTGCCTTTTGTGTGCTTGGATATTCTTGTGTGCTTGTTATTTGCACTTGTCTTCCTCTTTGCATGTGTTTCCTCCTGTGTGTTTATATCTCTGCCGCAACTGCTACTTCTGTGTGTCTGTGTGTGTCAATGTGCATGCTGGCGATGGGCGCCAGAGTCGGGGTTGCAGGAGGAGGAGCAGCTGCAGGCAGAGAGGGAGCGCATTGATGCGCGGGGCATGGCGCTGCAGGAGAGGGCGAACGCCGTGCGGCGGGAGCAGCGCACTCTTGAGGCCGAGGCCGCACAGTGCGAGAGACAGCGGGTGAGGTGGAGTGCGGGGGGGGTGAGGTGTAATGAGGTGGGATAAGGTGGGGGTGGGGTGGGGTGAGCGATGTATGTGTGTGTGTGTGTGTCCAGTGGGCGAGAGGGAGTTTGATTTTGAGGGATGGAGAGAGGGAGGCATGTTGCTGTTGGAAGGAGGGTAAGCCTACCTTAAATCTCGTATCTCCATGCCGTGTGTGCCACATGCCAGCGTGCATTCTGCCCCGTCAATACCTTTATTAACCAGTTCACACTCCTCTGTACCGCACTGAACTCTACAGGATGAGATTGTGAACGAGTACCATGGGCAGAAGAAGCAGCGCACCGACCTGCAGAACCGCATTGGTGAGTCTCTCTCACCCTTGAGTCGTCACAAAAAAGGTGAACCTTGAGTCGACTAAAAGAAGGCGACTTTTGAGTCAACTCAAAAGTCACCGACTGCAGAACCGCATTGGTGAGTCTCTCTGATCCTCGTCAATCGTCTGATAGACCTTTTTTCACTCTCCTCCTCCTCCTCCTCCTCCTCCTCCTCCTCCTCCTCCTCCTCCTCCTCCTCCTCCTCCTCCTCCTCCTCCTCCTCCTCCTCCTGCTCCTCCTCCTCCTCCTCCTTTTCCTCCTCCTCCTCCTCCTCCTCCTCCTCCTCCTCCTCCTCCTCCTCCTCCTCCTCCTCCTCCTCCTCCTCCTCCTCCTCCTCCTCCTCCTCCTCCTCCTGCTCCTCCTCCTCCTCCTCCTTTCCTCCTCCTCCTCCTCCTCCTCCTCCTCCTCCTCCTCCTCCTCCTCCTCCTCCTCCTCCTCCTCCTCCTCCTCCTCCTCCTCCTCCTCCTTTCCTCCTCCTCCTCCTCCTCCTCCTCCTCCTCCTCCTCCTCCTCCTCCTCCTCCTCCTCCTCCTCCTCCTCCTCCTCCTCCTCCTCCTCCTCCTCCTCCTCCTCCTCCTTTTCCTCCTCCTCCTCCTCATCCTCCTCCTTTTCCTCCTCCTCCTCCTCCTCCACCTCTCCCCCCGCCCACCACCTGCTCCTCAACCTGTTCCGCACGCGTCTCCGCACTCCAAGGCTCAGAGGGAGAGATGGCGGAGGCAGGGCGTCCCTTGCACCTTCCAGGCGAGACTCTTCTCAGCCCACTTCCCATGTGTCGCCTACCTATCCTCCCGTCCGTCTCCCCAAGGCAGTGCAGAAGCGCGAGCTGGTGGCACAATCCCGGCAGAGCGAGGACATGGAGGAGGTTGAGAGGAGGGCGCGGGCAGACATTGCTCTCAGCATGGAGCGACAGCTGAGCAATGCCAAGAAGACACACGTGAGTGCCTCCGTTACACGGGCATATAAGGTTGAGAGCACAATGGGGGAAGAGGGAGCGGAGATTGACCACCGCTCTCCCTCCCATTTGTGCACGGATAGGAGTGCCGCCAATACATGTGCATTGTAGGGTGAACGGAATTACGGAGTTGAGGGTGTGTGCGGACATCAGTAAACAACATGGAGAGAGGGAGCTGCAGAATGCCAGTAACGCACGTGTGAGTGAGTGCCACAGCGTGCTCCCATACAGACTGTCTCCTTCTTTTTCTTCGCTTCTGCCCCTTTTCTTTGTCCTCGCTCCCGTTTCCCGTACGAGAACTAGTGCTTCAAGACGGTGCACCGGTGTTATCATAGGTGCTAAAGAAACAACAGAGCCTTGCTTCCAATATGGGGCTTCTGTGTGCTTCCATCCCCAACCCGCTCCCCTCTTCCTCCCCAACTCATCCCTCCCCTCCGCTCCCCCACCCTCTCCCTCCGTGTGTGCACCTCCCCCAGAAGCACCTGCTGAGCCTGTGGCAGGAGAAGCGGCGCCTCTCCTCCCTGCAACTTGCTGTGGACGAGCTCTCCTTCCTGGTAACTTCCCACACGCTCTTCCTCCTGGTAACTTTCTGTGAGCTTCACTTATGATAAGAAGTGCCATGCGTTGAATTCTCCACATGTGCGTTGAATTCTTCACATGTGCGAACATCAAATGCTGCTCACCAAGGCACCGTGCCCATGCACCCAAGATTATTATAGGTATCTACTAACCCAAAAAATGAGCACACACCCATGCACCACATGCCCACTGCGATGCATCGTATCATATCGTATCATGTCTCCCCTCAACACCAGGTGCGCGAGCGCGAGGGCGAGTTCAAGGATCTGGACGAGCAGCTGCTGAAGCTGCAGCAGGAGGTGATGCGTGGTGAGCAGGGGTGGGGAGGGGTGGGATGACTGGTGATGAGCGGAGGTGAGAGGGGCTGAGTGGGGATGAGAAGTGAGAAGGACTAAAGGCGAGGCGAGTAGTAGGGATTATAGAGGTGGGATAGGGAGCAAGTGGGGTTTGTTTGTGCATGCATGGTTGCATTGTTCATTCGTTCGTTAGATTATAGGTAGAAGGTACTTCCTCTGAACCTTTCTGCCCTTGCACCTTGGTCAACGCTCTCCCACAGTCGTTCTGTAAATGTACAGAAAACGTTGTGTCCCTTGGTCATCGCTCTCCCACAAGCATGCCCCACGGGCCATAGGGGGGTCGCTCAGGGGTAGCAAGCAACGCAGGAGGGGGCACTATGGATGGAACCCACCTGATTCGCACGCCTCTCCCTCATTCCTGCCCCTTCTCCTTCCGTTCCTCCCCCTCCTGCTACCCGCCCGCACAGAGGAGGATCGGGTGGCGGCAGCGAAGCAGGAGGCGGCACTTGAAACCCTCCTGATTTCCCCAGTCCCGCCCTTCCCCAGTCCCGCCCTTCCCCAGTCCCGCCCTTCCCCAGTCCCGCCCTTCTCCCTCATTCCCCCTGCCCTTCCCTTACCCCTCCCCCTCCCACTGCCTGCCCGCACAGAGGAGGATCGGGTGGCGGCAGCGAAGCAGGAGGCAGCAGCGGCACTGGAGGTGGCGAGGGGGGTGGTGGACCTGAGGAGGGATGAGGAGGCCAAGAGGCTGTTTGAAACGGTGAGGATGGGTGAGCACATTGGTGGTTATAGTGGTATATTGGATTTGAATGACTATTCCCAGTCACCTAGTGGAGCACATTGGGTTGACTTCTGATGCCCTCAGACCTCCGACTTCTGATGCCCTCAGACCTCCTTGACTTCTGATGCCCTCAGACCTCCTTGACTTCTGATGCCCTCAGACCTCCTTGACTTCTGATGCCCTCAGACCTCCTTGACTTCTGATGCCCTCAGACCTCCTTGACTTCTGATGCCCTCAGACCTCCTTGACTTCTGATGCCCTCAGACCTCCTTGACTTCTGATGCCCTCAGACCTCCTTGACTTCTGATGCCCTCAGACCTCCTTGACTTCTGATGCCCTCAGACCTCCTTGACTTCTGATGCCCTCAGACCTCCTTGACTTCTGATGCCCTCAGACCTCCTTGACTTCTGATGCCCTCAGACCTCCTTGACTTCTGATGCCCTCAGACCTCCTTGACTTCTGATGCCCTCAGACCTCCTTGACTTCTGATGCCCTCAGACCTCCTTGACTTCTGATGCCCTCAGACCTCCTTGACTTCTGATGCCCTCAGACCTCCTTGACTTCTGATGCCCTCAGACCTCCTTGACTTCTGATGCCCTCAGACCTCCTTGACTTCTGATGCCCTCAGACCTCCTTGACTTCTGATGCCCTCAGACCTCCTTGACTTCTGATGCCCTCAGACCTCCTTGACTTCTGATGCCCTCAGACCTCCTTGACTTCTGATGCCCTCAGACCTCCTTGACTTCTGATGCCCTCAGACCTCCTTGACTTCTGATGCCCTCAGACCTCCTTGACTTCTGATGCCCTCAGACCTCCTTGACTTCTGATGCCCTCAGACCTCCTCGACTTCCCTCACCTTCCCTTCAGCTGCCCGACTCGCTGGAGGAGCTACAGGAGGAGGTGGAGGAGCGCATAGGGCAGGCGAACCGCATCGTGTGCCCCAACCCCCACGTGCTGCAGCAGTTCCAAGAACGGCAGGAGCAGGTGAGAGACCGTGAGCAAGGAGGTGGGAGAGAGCGGGTGAATGGGAGATAGAGCAGGCACGAGAACGAGGAGGTGAGAGATAGAAAGAAAAGCACAACAACACAACACCGCGTGTTTTCCACGAGTACCACCGGGAGCGACTGGGGCAAGTGAGGGAGGGGAACATCTTCTTTCCAAGTTTGTTGCAGTCGGTGAAACACATCCTGTTGTTGGGCCAGGCAGCACCTGCAAGGCTCTTCACTCTCACCTCCTGCTGCCACTTCTCGGCCTTGCCTCGCTCCCACTTCCTCACGAATTTTGAGGCATCTCAAAAGTTGTCTCGTTTCCACTTCCTCCCGACCAAACCCCGCGCCTCCATCCAGACCCGCAGGGTGCGGGCAAGGTGATGAGTGAGGCCCCACATTGCATCCCTCATTGCCCCCATTCTACTTTAGCATTTCATTTCCCGTGTAGCAGGAAATGGGGTGGGGGGCTGCAGCATGATTTACCGCATTCATTTCCCGCGTTCCCCTCCATCCCCCCGAACCCTCCCCTCGCTGCATGTGCTTGCATGCAGATCCGCACTATGCAGGGCAAGGTGGAGAGTGAGAGGCAGCAGCTGGAGGAGCTCCGGGCAGAAGTGGAGCGCGTGCAGGTGACTATAACGGGGTGGGGGGCTGGGTGTGACTATAGTGGTGCTACTGTAGCAGCTGGTGTGGGTGCAAGTGAGTGAGAGTGGTGGGTGGGTGCGACTGTAACGGGGGAAGTCCATGCACTTTACTTTAGTAGGGTTTTGAGGCGACTCAGAAATCGACAGCGTGTGCTGCTGTAGCAGTTGGAGGAGCTGGAGGCGGAAGTTGGGGTAGTGCAGATGACTGCAACAGGGTTATAGCGAGTGTGACTGTATTGGTGGGGTATTGTGATGCATAGGGTGTCGCACAACCAATTTGCAAGAGAGTGGGACAGGTGAGACCAGGGGGGGTGAGGAGTGTGGGGGTGTTAAGAGTGGTGAATGTGACATGCAATGAGAACGGGCGTGCTTTAACCTCTTCTTCTATCCACGTGTCATTTCGTAATTGCTGCACATCATCCTCCCAATCCGTCCGCATTCTCATCATCCCATTGCCATCTGCCACGTGGCACCATCTCACCACCATCTGCCACGTGGCACCATCCCATCCCCATCTGCCACGTGGCACCATCCCATCCCCAGGGTCTCTGGCTGCCGCGTCTCCGCTCGCTGATCGTTCGCATCAATGAGGCCTTCTCCAGAAACTTCCAGGAAATGGCCGTTGCTGGGGAGGTGGCTCTAGGTGAGTGAGAGAAGAGTGGAGGGGAGAAAGGGTGGGAAGAGGAGTGGGAGAGGGTGGGAAGAGGATTGGGAGAGGGTGGGAAGAGGATTGGGAGAGGGTGGGAAGAGGATTGGGAGAGGGTGGGAAGTGGATTGGAAGCGGGTGAAGGGGAAGGGAGTATGAGAACGTGTGAGTGTGGAGGGGAAATAAGTGTATGAAGGTTGGCTTGGATGGAGGGAATGCATTGCAATAATGCATGGTAGAAAAGGGCATGAATTCTTATTGACGGCATGGCCCTAGATGGAGCTCTTAATAAAGGAGCACCTTTGACTCATCTCAAAGGCAGTGGTTCTGGGTGGGGAGATGGCGGCTGGTAAGGGCATGCGAACGAATCACTAGATTTCAAAGGTCTCACTCTCTTTCAGCCAACAAGTTGCCAAGTGCATTTCCACCGCACCATCTCCCGTCCCATCATCGCGCCACCCCCCATTTTGGCACCTCCCCTCCCCGTCCTTGTCTGCATTCAGATGAAAGGGGGGCTGACTTTCGATCGTATGGCATTCGAATCCGAGTCAAGTTCAGGTGATTCAGAGCTTCAGGTGACTCAGGTGGTTCAGCTCCAGGTGATTCTTTTTAGGTGGTTCATTTTCAGGTGATTCTTTTCAGGTGGTTCAGTCTCAGGTGATACTGTTCAGGTGGTTCAGTTTTAGGTGATTCAGCCGCAGGTGGTTCAGTCTCAGGTGGATGATAATGCACCATTGGAATTGCAAGTGTGGTTCAGTCTCAGGTGGATGATAATGCACCATTGGAATTGCAAGTGTGGTTCAGTCGCAGGTGGATGATAATGCACCATTGGAATTGCAAGTGTGGTTCAGTCGCAGGTGGATGATAATGCACCATTGGAATTGCAAGTGTGGTTCAGTCTCAGGTGGATGATAATGCACCATTGGAATTGCAAGTGTGGTTCAGTCTCAGGTGGATGATAATGCACCATTGGAATTGCAAGTGTGGTTCATTTCACTCCCCTTGAATGCCCTTTCTTTACTGCCTTATCGTCAAAGCCCTCATCAGCTTTTGTGTCATCCCATCCCATGCCATCCCACGCACTTGTCCTATTCCCTTGAGTTCCTTTCCTACAGACATGCATCACGTGAAGGTACACATCTGAGAATAGCAGCGCTTGTGCTCCGTGTTTGGAGTCGACTCAAAAAGCGTTTCATCCAGTTCCACCAACAACTCTCTCGACATTGCCTTGTGTTTCTTCTCATGGCCTCCCTTTCTCCCCCTACCCTCCTGCCCCATCTTCTGCTCTTGTCAACCCCTGCTTTGTGCTCTTTGTGTGGTGCTCCATGCATGCATCAGAGAGAGTGCAGAGCTGCAGGACCTGAGTGCACACCACCAGTCGGGAGGGGTACGTTGCTGTTCAAAGGGGTTCTTTCTGTGTTGGCAGGGGTCCTTGCTGTGCCGTCCATCTGTTGCGTGCGTCACCTGTTGTTGTTGCCTTGACTTTGCTCCTTGTGTTGCTGCTTGTATTACTTGCTTGCTTTCATCCCCCCCCTCCCTTCCCCTCCGTCCACTACGTTTTACCTGCTCCATCTGCACTACCTAACGTACACAATGTTCAATCCATTCGCCACAGGGCATGGAATCACGCTCTGCATGTTCCACCCTCTTCCGCCTGTGAACCCCCTTCCCTTGCCCCATACCAGGAGCGCTCTGTGTCAACGATCATGTACCTGGTGTCGCTGCAGGACTTGCAACCACAAGCGGACTCTGCGTCCTCTCTTTCCTTTACCCCTTCCATGCCCTTCCCTCCTTTCCCCCCTTCCCAGGAGCGCTCGGTGTCAACGATCCTGTACCTGGTGTCGCTGCAGGACTTAACGCGGTGTCCGTTCCGAGTGGTGGATGAGATCAACCAGGGCATGGATCCCACCAACGAGCGCAACATGTTCCAGCAGCTCGTGCGCGCCGCCACCCACGACCACACGCCGCAGTGAGTGGTCTGCATGCTGTTGTGAGGGCACACGATGAGATCAACCAGGGCATGGATCCCACCAACGAGCGCAACATGTTCCAACAGCTCGTGCGCGCCGCCACCCACGACCACACGCCGCAGTGAGTGCTCTGTCTGTGTAGCAAGGCATCACTGAGCCATGGCGTCTCAAAGACAGGTTTAGCACAGGTTACGCCATGTATGTCGAGCATGGCATCCTCATGCCATGGGCTGCCCCAATGAGCACCTATGTTTGTGCCTGCCAGATTTTTCTGTCACATATGCACCTGTGTGTTCCCATGTGCAACTCTCCTCCTCTCGTCCTCCCCCGTGCACCAACATCCCCTCCTGCAGGTGCTTCCTGCTGACGCCAAAGCTGCTGCCAGACTTGGACTATGGCGAGTCATGCACGGTGCACTGTGTCATGAATGGCGTGCATGCCGCTTCCCTCGCCTCCACTGCTGGTGAGTGCCGTGAGGACTGGTGGCCTGCTGACTTGAGCTGACTTAAAATGATTTGGTTTATGGCGACACGTGCACTGGGTCATCATGACTGGTGTGTATGTCACGCCCCTGCCAGCCATTGCTGGTGAGTGTGTGAGACCAGCTGTGACGAGAGTTGACCTGAGTTGTCTGGAGCTTTTTTTTTTGTTGACGTGAGCTGACTACCAATGACTAAACGTTTGCTGACTTGATTTGACCTGAGGATTGCACACAGCCTTGTATAGCCCGACATGGGGGTGACATATTCCGTCTTGTACCTGTCTCTCCTGACTGATTCGAATTCAGGATTCAAGGAGGGCCAAGCACTATGGGACTCGCTTCAACAAAGCGCTTCTACGGCTTAGGGTGTTTTCCTCCCTACGGCCCCGTATCAAACCAGCCCCTTCCCAGACTTGTGCTGCACCTTGCTGAACCGCGTTTGAGATTGCGCGCATCTAAATTGTACAACAGAGCATCGCAAGTGTATGTTAGCTGTGCAGCTGATGAAGCTTGTATGAACGCTGAACAGAATACTCTTTTACTGTGTAGTGAAGCACTTGTGCAATTATAAATATATACATATCCACCTATCCACTCCACAGAAATGGATAATCGATTATGATGATGACCACAAGCACTGACTCTGGGCATATCGGATATTGAATCAAATTGCTGATTAATCCAACGGGAGAGGAGTGATTCCATCTTGCCTGCGTGCAGCACAGGGGCTCAGTCGGCACAGGGAGCTCCTTACAGAGCAGCAACACGATTGCCCTTGTAAAGGTGGCAATTCGATCATGGGTGGCAATTCGAGAAAAACGTGTGGCAATCTGAGATAGGGAGAGGAAGGGGCGGCAATTTGAAAGGAAGGCGACACAATCTGAGAGGAAGGGGCGGTAATCTGAGTAATAAGGGCAGCATGTCGCGTGATTAACACTTAGCTGGCAACTAAGTGTGAATTACACAGCAGCCAAGGTGAGGTGTACTATAGTTTACTGCTTTTTGCATTTTACTTTGTTTGCTCTTTTGGAATGTTACTGTACTATACAGAGTCGAGCTGCTGAGGATTTCGAGGTGGTTGGGGGGGAGGTTGGTGGCGAATTCGATTCCAGCCAGCCTGGGAATTCAATTCGCCATTCACCAGGCTGGAAGGCGGTGCATGCCTAGTGGGCCGAGTGGGACCCAGCTAGCACCTTGAAGCCTACGCGATCAGCTCGGCTGACTCGCGCTTAGGAGTAGAGGTAGCTTGCGGGACAAGGCACCTAGGCAGGAGGGGATGTAGACTGGGGTAGCGCTCAGACTCGTTGCTTTTTGCTTGTATGTTTCTCGTTTACTGCAATTGTGATTTCCTAAACCACGGGGAACTAGCAGTAGAGAGGAGCTGAAGCAAATCGGCGGAGCCCTTGCGAGGGAGTTAAGTCTTGTTTCATACAAGCAAAAAGGGTAGTCAGGATTACGATTGTTGAGAGAAGAGGTGGCAGGATCTACTGCCTGGAGTTGCCCACGGTGATGCACCGTGAGGAATGAGTAATTTCGACCGTGAGCTTCACACTCATCAACTGCGCTCTGGACACCGATTCCCGGCGAGGATGATGGAGGGACGTGATCCGCCGGTCAGGATGCCTGGATTTCGGGCGGGCGAAGGAGGGACGATCTCGCGCGGTAACCAAGGCGGGGATCGGGAGGAAGAACGAGGTGTACACGGAGAACAACAGTCGAGCTCTGCATGCGACTCGCCCGCGGAGAGGAGTGGAGGGCGACCTGTGGGGAGTGGATCTCGCCGAGGAAATCCAGATCTGGGAGGAGACGATCAACATGAAGATCGACGAAGTCAGAAGGGAGGGGAAGATCATCGAGAAGAACGGCGGAGTCAGAGAGGAGAAGAAGATCAACGTGAAGAAAGGCGTAGTCTGAGGGGAGGAGACGATCAATCGGTGGAACGACGAAGTCAGCGAGGCAAGGAAGCATATCACGGATTCTCTGCTGGAGGATACGAAGCCATGGAGGCCGGGAGAGCAGGGCGACCTGCAGGGAGTGGAGAAGGAGGGAACACAAGCTGGGGGACAGGCAGGTCGATGAGTACTACACCCCCCAAAATTGAGGTACCAGACCGCTTCTCGGGGGCACCCGGAAAGGAGCCCACGCTGAAAAACTACCTGATGATGATTGAAGACATTCGCTACTGCTGGGATAGGGAGCGACTGGATCCTATTGAATTTTTCAGAGGCTTGGGGAGGACTCTCAAAGGAGAGGCGTTGACTCATTACCGCGTGGAGAGGCAGGGGCTGCTGATGCGGAGCAACAGAGGAGATATCTTACCGGCAGATATTACGGACCGTTTCTTGGAAAGCCTGCAGGAGCAGTTCCCGGGGCATTCGGCGGACCGGATGGCGGAGTTTCAAGACTTCAGAAGAGCGCCGGCAGAGTCGATGTTGGCCTACTATAACCGTTTACTGGAGCTGGCAGAGGATATGGGCTGCGTGGAGGAGCGCATCCTAGTGACCAAGTTCGTCAACGGACTGGATGGGGACTTGATACGAGACATGAGAAGCCGACTATACTCCTTGGGGGTACGGGCGAAGCTGCGACAGGTGTACCAGGTGGCGAAAGAAGTGGAGGATGGAAAGAGGTTTTTCGAAGGAATGAGGGGGTCAAGCTCCAGTCGGCCGAGCGAACGTCGGAGGCCTGCTTGGGCAGCGGTGGAAGGGAGACAGGGGGAAGAGGAACGAAGAGAGAGGCCGTCTGAAGATAGACGCAGGTGTTACAAGTGCGGCGAAAAGGGGCACGTGCGGAAGGACTGCGCCATAGACATAGTGTGCGACACCTGCAAGATGAAAGGACATTTCAGACGTGACTGCCCCAAGGCACCTATCTGCACCGGGTGTGGGAAAAGGGGGCATACTGAAGACAGGTGCTACAGCAAGGGAGAGAGAATGCGAGGAAAATCGGCAAGGGAGTTACAGTTAGAGAGAGAGGTGGCGAAGCTGAAGGGACAGTTGGAGAAGACTGAGATTAGTGAGGACCCTGAGAAGGCATTGCTGGCTTGGGAGGACGATGAAGAGGAGGAGTATGAGAGAGAGGAGGCAGAGTACGGGGCCATGGCCATACCACCTAGAGACCGAGAGGAGTTGGGGCTGCGCAGCGGCGGTAAGGATGGCAGGACAGAGCAGAAGCAGCCTGAAAGGAGAACCCCTCGGCAACAAGAAGAAAGCCATAAGCCGAGGACGGCTCGACGGCATCCTGAGGAGAGACTCGTCTGCCAACCCACGGCCCTGGTGGTAGAACCTAAGGCAGTGGCTGTCAGGGGCATATTAGTGGAGAACGCCGTGGTGGATACAGGCGCACAGAGTGTCCTGCTGGGAAGGAAGCTGACAGAACAGTTACGGGAGAAAGGGGACTTGGAAATAGTAAACAGAGGCATACTGATCATGACAGCCGAGGGAGGGGCACCAAAGTGGATGCCCTGTACTAAGGACCCCATCGAGATTACTCTGCAGCCGGGAGAGAAGGGAGAAACGACGATAAGAGTGCAATGTGGGCTGACCGAATCGGAGGATTATGATGTTCTGCTGGGGATGGAGCTGCTATTCAAGATAGGTACAACAATTTGTACCTGGCAGGAACAGGTGCTCTACCGCTCGGATTTCTGGATTGAGGGAAAGGAGTTGAGTGAGCTGCCAGTGCGGTTTGTCAAGACAGAACCGAAGAAGGCTTGGAGGGCGGAGGGCATGAGAAAAGAGAGCGTAAGGAGGGGGAGTACCAAAGAGGGCAAGGTCGGAGCTAACCTGAACCAGTATAGCGTTACCTTAGTGGAGCTGTTTGGAGGGCTGGGGGCAGGCTTAGCGGCGGCACTGGAAGCAGGGCTGAAGGTGAAAAGATGGGTGTATGTGGAAATAGACCCGGAGGTGAGGAGGATGGCTTGGAAGCATGCACAGATACTGCAGCAGCGGTACCCAGCTCAACTGGCGAAGGAAGTGATACGGGAGGCCATGCAGAATGAGAAGTGGGATGTGGGACAGCTTACCAAGGAAGATGTGAACCGCTGGGGAAAGGTGGACCTGTTGGTAGCAGGGTGGGAGTGCCAGGGTACTTCCCGAGCGGGGAAGGGAAGAGGAATGCAGGATGACCGCACGGCGATGGTGACAACACTGCTGACGATTATGAGGTGGGCGAGAGAATCTGGCGGGGAATATGCGTACATCCTAGAACATGTGGATATGAGGAGTGATAGCAGGGAGCCGGTCCGAGCCGTACGCGAACTGGTGGAAGCAGAATTGGGAAGGGGAGTGAGTTGTGACGGGGCACAGCTGGGGGCAAGGTGTCATAGAGTGCGGCAGTACTGGCAGAACGTCCTGCCAGAAGGAGAACTGAGGGCGAGATTAGCAAGGGTGGAGAGAGATGAGAGCCGAATCGTGGAAGACATTCTGGAACCAGGGAGAGTGGCCGCCCCAGTGGTAAAGCCAGATCATCCGCGACAGTATCAGTGTAACCGAGTGGGGGAAGCGAGGAGGGCCTGGCCGACACTGGTGGCCTATGCAAAGGCACGGGGATTTGTCGAAGTGGAAGGGACTCCAGGTCCAGGGATGGTGTATGATCACCGTAAGAAAAGATGGGAGGAGCCGACTGCTTTGGAGAGGGAATTAGCCATGGGGTACCTGCCGGGGGCAACTGCAGCAGATGGAGTAGGGGAGGAGGTGCGCAAAGCTGCCTTGGGCCGAGCCATAGACCAGCACTCACTGCGATGGCTAATTAGTGAGATGAGAAAGGGGCCAGCCGAGAAAAAGGGAAAGACGGAAGAGGAGAAGTGCAGGGGCAGCAAGCAGGCTGCTTACGCCGCTGTCAGCAAGCTCACAGACGAGAAGGAGATCAAAACTGCACCACCAGTAGGGACGGAAGCAGAGCCGGGCAAAACCTGGGAGCTGGGGGCAGGTATAGGGGAGCAAGCAGCCGAAGCAATCAGGGAGGTGTTGCAGCAGCATAGGGGCACCTTCGCCTATAACCTGCAGGAATTGGGGAGATACAA